AGGTCCTCCTCAGTTTCAGCAAGCAGGGTTGTGTCATCTGCATAACGGAGATTGTTAAGAGATCTTCCACCAATCCTTACGCCATAGTGCCCAGCCTCTCGGATAATCTGCTCTGCATACATGTTAGCAACGATTGAAAATAAAAAATTTAAAAGAAAACAAAAAGAGAACAAGGTAGAAGGAATCTTTCTCACTGATTTCAAATCCTACCACACTGTCGTGATGGTCAAGACAGCGTGGTACTGGTACAATGATACATACAATGGAATAGAATTGAGAATCCAGAAATCAGCCCGTCCACCTATGGTCAACTGAATTTTGACAAGGAGATGAAAACAGTTAAGTGGGCAAACTACAGCCTTTTTAAAAAATGGTATTGGCAAAATTGGAAAACTATCTGCAGAAAACTCAAAAGAAGCACCAGTCACCTAGCCGCCACTGAAGTCTCAGCTGCCTCCTCCTAGAGCCCCCTCGCCTCGCTTCTTTTTTTTTTTTTATTTTTGTGTGCGTGTACCATCAAATCAGATCTGACTGGTACAGGAGGAGATTGCCCCTCCTTCCCCGGCAGAGCATCTGGTGGATTCGAACCGTGCGCCTCTGGGATTGTAGTTGCAACTCCTTGCCACTAGGCCACCAGAGCTCCCCCTCGCCTCGCTTCTTGATACTCTGTCCCCACTGCCTGCCTTCTCCCGCCTCCACCTTCTGCAGGCCTTTTCTACAGAGGAAAAGGAATTACGTCCGCTATCCAGAACCTCCACTCTTTCAACCCCTCTGCTGATGGAAGTAAGGGTGATGACCTGCTTCCTACTGGAACTGAGGATTATATTCATATAAACATTCAGCTACAGGGTGACCAACGCAAGAACATGTGCCAGTTCCTTGTCGAGACTGGACTGGCTGAGGACGACCAGCTGAAGGCTCATGGGTTTTAAATGTGTTGTGGCTCACTTAAGCTCAAGTGAAGATTTCCTTGCAATAAGTAGAAAATTTCCCTTCTGTCCCTTGTAACAAGTTTAAAACCTCACAGCTTGTATATAATGTAACCATTTGGGGTCTACTTTAAACGTGAACTACTATTAATTCTTTCATGCAATAAACTGGGGAGAAAAAAAGACAAACAGAACACTCAAGCAAGATCCACACCTCACTCCATATACAAAAATGAACTCAAAGCAGATGAAGCACTTAGGACTAAAACCACGGACTATAAATGTCATTAGAGAAAATCCTGGAAGAACTCTAGAAATCCTAATCGACAACATGAACAGTCTTCCAAGCATCTAGAAAAACCTATAACCAGGAGAGGATAAAACAGATGAATGGGACCTCCTAAGAAACAAATCCCTATGCACATCCACAAACTTCTCCAACAGGGTTAAAAGGGAAGCTTTACAGACTGATAAAAAATATTTGGCAATGACATGTCAGATAAGGGACTTATATCTAGAAATTATAGAATACTCGAGCACCACAGCAAGATAAAGGTACACAACTCAATTGCAAAATGGGGACAGGACATGAACAGACACTTCACCAGCGAAGACATTCAGATGGCCAACAAACACATGAAGAAGTGTTCAAAAATCCCTAGCTCTAAGAGAGATGCAAATCAAAACAACTGTGAGATATCATCTCACCCCAGAAACAATAACAAAATTTAACAGAACAGCAAATAACAAATGCTGGCGAGGTTGTGGAGAAACTATTTGTGGGAATGTAAAATGCTGCAACCACTGTGGAAGGCAGTATGGTGCTTTCTCAAAAAGTTGCATACAGAAATACCATTTGACTCAGCAATCCTCTACTAGGAATATACCCAAAGGAAACCAATACTGATACCCAAGTAGATATATGCACATCCATGTTTATTGCGGCTTTGTTCACAAAAGCAAAGAATTGGAAACAACCCAAGTACATATCAACAAACGAATGAATAGAAAAGCTGTGGTATATTCACACAATGGAATACTCTGCTGTATTGAAAAACAAGGAATTCATGAAATATTATACAAAATGGGTGACCATGGAGGACATTATGCTGAGTGAAATATCTGTCACAAAAAGACAAATACTGCATAGTGCCACTGCTGTAAAACAAAACTGACATAGGGACTAGGGGGAACCTAAGAAAAGAGGGGATAAATACTGTATACTGCATTGAAACAGATGAGGGAGAGAACTGTTTTTAAAGGGATATATGATTAAGTATTACTCTCATGACAAGAGTCTAGAAAAAGAAATGCATAGTAAAGTGGACTGTGGACTTGGTTGGGAGGATTGTAGAAAAATGAAAGAATTTTTTTTCCTTTTCGAAGAGAAAAGTGAACTGGGGGAAGGGTGGGCAGGGAGAGAATGGGAAAAAATTAAATGGGAAGAATATGCTGTAATAAAAATACATTGTTATTTGTTGTTATGTGCCGTCGAGTCACTTGCGACTCATAGCGACCCTATGTACAACAGCCCTAAACTCTGCTCTGTCCTGTGCCAATTGCACTGTCTCTGACACTCCCTTCCCGATTATCCCAGTCACTGAATCAATCCACCTCATAGAGGGCCTTCCCCTCCTGCGCTGTCCCTCCACCCTCCCAAGCATGATGTCCTTCTCCAAGGACCGGTCTCTCCTCAAAACATGTCCAAAGTATGTTAGACGGAGGCTCAGAATCCTTGCCTCCAAGGAGCCACCCGGTTTAACCCTCTCCAGGACAAATCTGTTTGTTTTCCTAGCAGTTCATGGTATTCTCAATACTATTCTCCAGCACCACAGCTCAAAGGCATCAATTCTCCTTCTATCCTCCTTGGTCACTGTCCAGTGATTGCAAAGACCATAGCCTGTATCAGACACACCTTAGTCTCCAGAGAGACACCATTGCTCTTCAGTACTTTGGAGAGTTCCCTAACAGCATTATTATTTTTTAAAAAAAGGTCTACCTCAAGAATTAGAATGGACTAGATATCAAGGAGGAAAAGAGAAAGTACTTGTTGACAGTTCTATTATGGTTATAGACTGGGAACCTCATGGATGTTTTTAACAAACTGTTCATAAGAAAAACCAACATAAAATATTACTTGTGATTATATCAGTGAGGTTAATGAGTCTAGTAGTTCTGATGACACTTCTCAGATATATGGTTGAAGACTTAGAACTTGACATGAAGGTAGTTTATGTGCCCTGGATGCTGAAGAATGTTTCCTTAGGGGGGACTTGAACAATGAGACTTATGGGAACTTCCAAAGTCTTTACAAAGAATGGATAAATGTTCTGGAAATATATCTGGAACTTCATGAATATATAAGGTAATATTGTAGTCACTAATGGAATAATTATAGGATTGCAACAAATTAACCCTGTAAGTTGGTTGAAAGAATAGAGTAGCATTTTATCTAACATTGTAATACTGTTTATCTTTCTTTTTCTTTGGTATGTAGTCTGTCAAAGACAATGATACTCAATGAACTTTCTTATATACAGTATACGACTTGTGCTTTAGCAATTAAAAATAAAAGGGGGGGGTAGTTAAAAGAGGACTGTGAGCAAGTGGATGAGCTGAGACAGGTTTAACTAATGAATAAATCTGATGCCTTGAGCCATTCTTCCTGAAGACTGATAACGGCTGTGATAAGAATACTTTCCTGCTTAAAAGGAAAGCCTTGTTAGTGACACTCAGTAAATATTAGCAGTATCGCCCTTGTCAACCCACTGGTAACTGTTTATCCTAAGAGAATGCTGCAGCAGAAATGTTTTACTCCCTGCTGTAACTGCTACTCCGTTTTATGGCATTCTGTTAATCGTTTGAAGATTTTGCTTAAAAGCTTCACTTGTACTGAATAAAGTCACTTAAGATTCTTGAAGTTTTTAGTTCCTTGCTCCCCAACTATTTTATGTCTTTTATTATTATTATTGTTACTGTTGTTCTTGTTATTATTGTTTATTATTATTATTATTTTAGGGTATGTGTACGGTCAAATCAGATCTGACCAGTACAGGAGGAAATTGACCCTCCTGTCCAGCAGAGCATCTGGTGAATTCGAACTGTGCACCTCTGAAATTGCTATTTTATGTCTTTTATCAAGTTTCTCTGATTCCCTATTCTCTGACCCGTTATACAGCTGGGTTTTACCAGAGACAGGGAGATTAACTCAGGGTAGAGCAGGGTTAGGGTTATGGTTAGGGTTAGCTCAGGCTGTTCGTTCATAGGGTCGCTATGAGTCGTCTACGACTCAACAGCATCAAACAACAACAACAGAGCAGGGTTCAGAGCATAAGGTTGCAATGAGTCACAAGTGACTCCATGGTCCTCAACAACAACAAAGAAAAGAGAATTATTCATCCAAACTTAAAACAATCCAAATCACTGGTAGTAAGAGAGATGCAATGCAGAACAAACAAAAGAGATAAAATCTCTTTTGAAGAAAGGGAGTGTGTATTTTTTTTCAACTGCTAGAAAAGAGCTTATTCCCACTTGGGGAGAGAGAGATAAGTAGAGGTATTTTGATTTACACTGACGTGGTGCCTTCTTTTGCACTAACGACCCATCCACAGCCTTCTCTTGCCACTGCTATTATCACATTTACCTGGAAAGTGTTCACTGTGGTGTTCAGGTAATACAGTCCATGCTTGTTCACTGCCTTCCATCCTGGGGAGTGCATCAGGCATGCTAACTTGAAACCCTGTTCACAGAAAATCACACAATCTTAGACACGCTACCTTGGTGACAGTTTTTAAAAGACTGCAGAAAAGTATTCATGGAAGAAGAAAAATTTCAAAGGTATACAGGTAAAATTTTCTGGCAAGAGTAGAAAAACTCCCACTTATTTAGGGCCGGGAAGTTGATAGAAAAACTGAGACTTTGGACCACCACGGACAAGATAAGAGATTTCAGAAGCCAGAACAGGAAAAGCCCACGTCAGGAGAATCATCCTCACCGATGGACACCAGGTTTCTGTAGTTCTCCAACATCACCTCCTGGTGCAGGGCCTTCTGAGCTGGGTCCAGAAGCTCCCATTCTTCCCAAGTGAAGTCCACAGTCACATCACTGAAGGTCAGCTTTTCCTATGTGAATAAGAGGACCCTGTTTAATCAAGTATTTCCCCCTCAGGATGTGAACAAAAGGTGAGGAAAGGTCGTTAGCTCATTTCCTCGATGTGGACCACGGCATCTCAATACCTAGTACACTTGGCTTTTTGAGATCTTAGAGAAAATAGAAGACTTTTATATACCATTTCTAATTCATACATTTAGTCATTCAGTCAGTCGCTTGTAAAATCAGAATTTAATATAATGTGACATATTTGTACATACGTATATTTTTAAGTGGTGTTGCCCTAGTAAGCTAGAAACTTTTCACATGTATTCATGCACCAAAAATGTCAATGTACACCCCACAAACACGTTTGTAACTATACTAACAGGAAGTTATGGGTCTATTTTTATGAAATGGAAGGAGGCTGACCAGCAGTTAACAGTGGCCTGGTCAGAATATGCCTAATAATCGATGCGGATAATGAGGACATCTCCCTGCACCCACAAACTTTTCCCAATTCCCACACCCTTCTGAAGCTCTCTACTTTCCTTGAGCTGGTTAATCCATTCTGACGAACACTTACAACTCACAGAGAACCATGGTAGTTAAGTAGATGACTAAGGAACAGAGGAGAAGGGGAGCTCTGGTGGCCTAGTGGCAAGAAGCTGCACTGCAATCCCAGAGGTATGAGGTTCGAATCCACCAGATGCTCTGCCGGAGAAGGAGGGGCAATCTCCTCCTGCACCAGTCAGATCCAATTTGATGGCACACACACACACACACAAAAAAAAAAAAAAAAAAAAAAGGAACAGAGGAGATTGCGGTTGTCACCAACAGCTTTGTCACTGGCCTCTTCTGGGATTAGACCCATCAACTCTCCCCATGGCCCTTCCAGGTCTGTGGACACAGGGTCAGCTGCTGAGCCCCCAGAGATGTCTGGTGTTACAGCTCTTGAAGGAGGTGTCTTCCCGCCCTTCTCTCTCCTTTCTTCTGCTTATTTTCTCTTCTCTCTCACTATCAAAAACCTCTGTTATGTTGGCTGCTTATATAGCAAACTTCAGTTTAAAGGTTCAAGCTTGTTGCCTCCCAGTTTTAGCCACTGACTCGGGGTCTTTCTTTTTTCTTTTTTTATTCTCTCTCTCTGTGTGTGTATACCATCAAATCAGATCTGACTGGTCCAGGAGGAGATTGTTCCTCCTTCTCTAGCATAGTATCTGGTGGATTCGAAAGCCTGGGTTTCTTTTATGATTTTCTGGTCTTGTGAAAAACACAATACAGAGGATGGTGGAAGGATAACGAGATTTGGTGCTCAGAAGTTACGTCCCAACGTGGAGCACTTCAGCACAGTACACACAAAGGGTGTGCCCCCTCTAGCAGGGCTGTACTCCACCAGGGATGCCCTCACCCTTGACAGGTTTTGGCAATTCTCACAGACCCGTCTAGTTGAAATTAACTCACAGCTAACCCTCACCCAGGTTTTCACAGATTGTTAAGAGTAATAATTTTTTTTATCTCAGAGTTGGTGGTGGACTCGAATTACTTGTGTTTCAGTTCAAGGTGCAACTTCTTACCACTATTTTTTTTTCCTTCTCTTGCTTCTATCTACCCAATTTTGAAGATGAATGAATGTTCAAAGACCACTCCCCATCTACTAGGGGAAAAAAGGAACATAAAACAAAGCAAAACTCACCTGAGCCTTGACCATTGTCTTCTGTTTTGGGGATATTCCCGGTAACTCGAATGATCCGTATTTGCCTTTTCTTGGAAAGCTCTGACTCCTCTTCCGAAATATCAATCTTCAATAGACAGTATCCCTAGAAAACACAATATATAATTCCCATAATTTCTTCATATCAGAACACTCAATTGTACTTGTGTGAAATCTTTACCTGCCCAAAAGGCACACAAAGCAAGGGGACACAACATGGTTTAAAATTAGGCAAGGTGTGCACCAGGGCTGTACCCTTTCTCCATACCTGTTTCATGCGTATGCTTAGCATATTATTGCAGAAGCTAGACTCAATGAAGAGGAACGGGGCAAGAGGACAGGAGGAACACTCATCAGTAGCCTTCAAGATGTAGATAACACAATCTTACTTGCTGAAAGTGAGGAGGATTTGAAGACCTTGCCACAAAAGTTTAAACACTGCAGCCTTCAATATGAATTGCATCTTAACATTAAAAAAACAAACAATGCACCTCAACAATATAAAGGTAAATGGGCACAGGATATGAACAGACACTTCACCAAAGAAGACATTCAGATGTCCGACAAACACATGAAGAAATTCTGAAAATCCCTAGCTCTCAGCGAGATGCAAATCAAAACAATTATGAGATATCATCTCACCCCAGTGAGAATAGTAAAATTTAACAGAACAGCAAACATCAAATGCTTGTGAGGTTGTAGATAAACTGAAACCCTTATTCACTGTTGGTGGAAGTGTACAAAATAGTGCAACCACTCTGGAAAGCAGTCTGGCACTTTCTCAAAAAGTTGGAAACAGAAATACCACTTGACCCAGAAATTCCGCTATTAGGAATTTACCCTAAAGAAACCATAACCACCATCCAAGCAGACATATGTACATCCATGTTTATTGCGGCTTTGTTCACAATAACAAAGAGTTGGAAACATCCTAAGTGCCCATCAACAAACGAATGGGTAGAGAAGCTGTGGTATATTTGCACAATGGAAAACTATGCTGCACTGAAAAACAAGGACCTCATGAAATATTATACAAAGTCGGTGACCCTGGAGGACATTATGCTGAGTGAAATATCTCTGTTACAAAAGGATAAATACTGCATGTGTCAATGTTGTAAAACAAGACTGATATCGGGGTTGGGGAGAGACTAAGAAACATGGGATAAATAATGTATAATTCATTGAAACAGATGATGGCGAGAACTGTTTAAAAGGGATTTTTTTAAAGCAATTCTTTTTTTAAAAAATATTTTTCTTTTAATGTGTGTGTGTGTGTGTGTGTGTGTGTGTACTGTCAAATCGTATCTGACTGGTACAGGAGGAGACTGCCCCTCCTTCTCCAGCAGAGCATCTGGTGGATTTGAACTGCATACCTCTGGGATTGCAGTACAGCTTCTGGCCATTAGGCCACCAGAGCTCCCTTAAAAGGGATTTTTGATTAGATATTATTGTCATGACAGGAGTCCAGAACGAAGGCTCCATAGTGGACTGGACTTGGGGGGAGGGATTGCATAACAATGAAAGAATTTTTCTATCACTTTTCAAAGAGAAGAGCAAACCGGGGCAAGGGGTGGCTAGGGAGAAAAGTGCAGCAATGAATGAATGGAAATCCAAAGTCTCTGTAAACTTTCACTAAAATTAATAATAATTTTAAAAAGGAAAAAAAAGAGATGGTGATGGTGGCACTGGACAGGACACGCTTCACATTTGCTGGTCACAGGGCTGCTATAAGCTGTACTCGACTCAAGGAAACCTAAGAACAAACAACAACTGCTTTGTAAAACCAGCGAGGTCAGCGGCATACGGACAGCCAATTCTGGCCTCTACTGTGTCCACATGGGGGATCAGCTCTGGCAACTGTATCCACCCCGGAAAATCAATTACCATGGGTTCAGACAAGTCCCGGATACTTCTCGCTGTTCCCAGCTCAATCCAATGACCATCCTACTTACTCTACTGACTCTGAAATCTAAATAAAACACCTCTGCAGACCTCACAAATCCACCTTCACGATGAGGGTGTACTAAGGAAGTCAACAACTTACAACTCAGACTGGCCACAGTCGAGAGAGCATGGGCAGTGCACCTGCAGCCTCTTCACCCTTCGGCCTTACGGCTTCAGGCCGGTGTCAAAGAGCTTCCCTGAACCCTGAACATTAAGGCCTCTCTCCTGCATCCTGCAGCCTCACGCCAGGTCTCAGGTCCTCAGTGGTGGCTGCTGGTGCTCTCCTGGAGGGCTGGCTGGCCCGAGAGTCTCTTGCGCCCGAGGGCATGTGCTGCATTCTCTATTTCTTTGTCATTGTTGGTAGTGAGAGTTCCTACAACTCTGCCAGTGAAACTGCTTCTTTTAGATCCAGCAACTGAAACTAGGCAATCCCTGCTGGACTAGCACAGCCCACTTCCATGTTCCCTCCCAACGCCCTGCAAAGTCAAGGGAAATGGTCTAGGGGAGTCATTGTAAACAACAACAACGTAGTATTCTTATTCTTCTGCAGTAACTGAAGTAGTTCTGTTACTACTGAGGGGGCTGGATTTTAAGGCTTCAGGGAACATCCAGTGAGAGGCGTCCACCACCTTGGGGCCCAGGTGCTACGGCCACTCCTGGCACCTTTCTCAACCCAAGGCCCTCAATACAGGTGACTGTGCCTTTACCAGGTAAGTCAGAACAATTTACATCTGTGGGCAATCCACTCTGAGATTCAGAATCTGCATAAATGTGGGTTAAAAAAAACAAACCCCAATGTTTCTAACAATGACACATGACAATCAGATATATGCGTGAAAAGTAAAAGAAACAAACAAACAAAAAACACAACCACAGAAACAACCACAGAAACAACCAACCAGTGTGGCATCTACAAACTGGGGTTCAAGTGAGCTGTTCTGTTTCAGGAAGGAAACATTTTCTTTTCAACAGTCCACATAAAGCCCTAATATAAACGGAAGCACATTCCTCTGGATTCACTTTAAAAAACACAAACACAAGGACCTGTGGATCATCTCTAATTACAGAAGAATATTAAACACAGACTACGAAATCAAACGTATAAATCTATAATGAGTGCTCCTGTGAAACTCTACTATTAAAGTAAGCCAGCGTGATGCGATGGATGGATTTTATAGGCTTTCTTCTAACCCCTCCCAGATCCACCAGCGGCTCCTCAGAAATATGAGCAAATCTCCTCCCATGTCATTTACAGTCTCTTAAAACAGGGACGGACAGACAGCAGGAATCAGTGCTGACTCAATGGAATACACATCAAAAACAACGAAAGAGCTTTGCATTTCCCTAATAAACCTTAACTTATGGATACTATCTGAACTCTGTGTGGCGCCTGCAGGAAGTAGAAAATGTCACAAGGGGAGAGAGACAGGTTACAACTAAAGATTCTTGCACTTCTCTGATAAACCTTAAATTATGGATACAATCTGAATTTTCTGTGGCCCCTGCAGGAAGTACAAAATGTCACAAGGGGAGAGGGAAAGGTTGGCGCCGCACTGAAAAGGTTACAAGGTACCAGCAAGTCAGATTTTCCCTTGACAGAAGTCAGTCTGGGGCTATTGATGATTTTTCTTTCACTTTTCCTGAAGTTACAGGTCAGCCACACACCCCGGTTTGTAATCTGAGCACCACCCTCTGTGCCAGCAGCCAGGGCTCGGGGTGGAGTGGGGGTGGGTGGGCTCCGATCTTCCCAAGCTTCGTGCTCAGAAGCCTGCAGACCACAGACACAGCCTACTCACTCTGTTACCAACAACAAACTGGACCGGATGCCGCTCTTGCTCTCTTGTTTCCTGACTCCAACTTCACGGAGTCAGTTTTACTCCTCAACCTAGACATTGCATGCGTGCAGAAATGCCACCTGGAACCCTGACAAAGCCGAGAGCGATCCATAAACATCCAGGACAGGAGTGAGACCCCCACCTGCGAGCCTGGAAGCTTCGACACCCCCCACCCCCAACTGCTCCTCCTTCCCCTCCCAGCGACTCCACCCCCGCGCTTCCCACGGGAATTCCAAGTCCTAAGTCAGATCCACACATTTATGTCGCCCCATCTCAAGAAAAGAAACGCACCCCGACCACTGTGGGTTATAGATCTGGTTTTTCAGCACCACCCAGAATTCCAGAAAGTTGCTTTTACCTCCCTGTAATGTCTTCATGGGCGCTGGGGTGATTTAGGGGAAAGGAATCGAGCTGTCAAGCCAAAGGTAGGCGATCTGAATCCATTACCTGCTTCTCGAAACAAAGGTGGGCCCCCAGCTGCTCGCCTACAATTTACTGCCCGCGAAAACCTGCTGGCGAGTCCGCAATGGATTCTCTCTGGCCGAAGACTCCCTGACAGACAGCCTCGGGCAACTTCTTCATATAGACAACGCGTATGTCTATGGTGGCCCTCGAGGACCAAAAGTCTTAGGCGCCCCCGCGAACGCCAAACATGGCCGCGACGTTGCTTCGACAGGTCCAAGCATCATGGCCAACAGCTCAATTTCAAACACATTAACACTCTTAAAGTATGTATGTTTAATTAGCTGAATACTTTAAAATGGCAGAAATTTACAGTTGATTCTGTAATCTCTAAAATCCTGTAAACAGCACTTGACGGTGCCCGGAGAGGGTGTAATTTTCTAGACCAAGCGAACCTCGGCTTTTCTAGTACGGCGCCAGCAGGAAATATGCCTGCGCCCTAGCCCCGACACAATGGGGGCCGCCATATTGCATTACTTGCCGTACAGAAAGCAGCCTATCACGTAGCTACGGAAACCCTGAAGGGCAGTCCTGGCTCTGTGGCCTGTATCCTCCACCTTTATGCAAAAGAATAGATTTTCAGGGGCTCAAACTTTATAGAAAGGAAGAAAAAAGAAAAAAAAAAAGAGATTAATTTTTTAAAACAGGTCACTGGACTTTTGTATGTCAAGGATCTTTATTACAGAGATGATTCCTCAAAAGAGTAAAAGGGGAACTAGGTGAACTGTCATCCACAAATAGCTTCTGACTGAAAAG